ATCTGTTAGCAACTGCAATTTATTGCCCACCTGGTTGTCTTGCCTACCAGGCCTCATGAGGTGAGCTTGTGACATTCTAACATTCCCCCAACACTCACTGAGCACCTGCTCTCTGTCAAGCATAGTAAGAGATAAGAGGAGTTTAATGTATCTCTGTCCTCCTGGAAACTCACATCTTTAATCTTGGCTCCTGGTCTCCTAAGATCATTTACCTCTGATGCCCTCAAAGTGTCTGGGAAGCACAGTCACAGTGAAAGGTGGTAGTTTCCAACTAGCATCTGAACATCTGAATCCCCTGTAGCGGCAGAATGGGAAAACAGGACCAGCTTTGAGATGATGCCTGTTGTATGTCTGCTTGGTCTGTACAGCTGTAGAAGGTGAGGTGGGGAGAGGGATCATTCTTTATGTCAAAAGTTGTCAAAGCTGGAAGGGGTATGGGGATCATGTGGTCCAGCCTCTCATGCTCCATAGGAGAAGGAGAAGTGACTTGCTCAGATCATAAAGATGATGACAACGCCAAGCACGTGTGTGAAAGGGAACATGATAGAGACCCAGATTGGGTTTCTAAATTGGGATGGAAACCTTCCCTTTTGACTAACATTACTTGTTGTCTAGAATTTCTATGGATCAAAAGTGCTGTGACAGCTTAGTCAAATGTAACTAGTCCCCAGGAAATGATCAGATTTGCGTGTGCTTTTAAAATGGACATTTTCTTTGCATTGTTATTTTGTCCTAGATACTTGGTCATCAAACAGAGGCACGGATGCATTTCTGTATAACCTGGCAGTGCTGACAATATCTCATCCTCAGCCCTGGGTATGGGCACTTGATAGGCCCTCCCAAGGATTTCGAGTTAATTTATGCCCTGTGGATACACAATAGCCACGATAGTGTGACCGAGTCCCAGTTCTGTCACTTACTCGCTAGGTGGCCCTGGGCAAGTTATTTTGCCTCTGTGAAATGTGGTGATGAGTGTCTGTGTACATAAAAAACACACACGAAACAGTGCTTTGCAGGGTCCTAAACCCCCAACATGGGGCCTGGCACATACATGATCGGGGCTCTTTTTCTCTTTTTGCTGGCAAGAGGATGTATTTCTATATCATGTTAAACTGCAGCACTATCTTTAGAGTCAGCTGAGGCATTGGAATCTGAGATTGTGACAATCTGGGCGTTATCTCTGAAAAAATACCTTAAACTTAAAAAAAAGTTTCTGTGATTTTTCCAATGCTTATTGATCACTCCCCATTCATTCCTCACCCCACTGCCTTCTCCCTTTCCCTCCCTTGGCCTCAAAGAAAACTAATGGAGCCATAGAGAAAGCTTCCAGATAAAACTGACCTTGTGCACCTTTAATTGAGGACAGAATTTGCTAAAAGTGCGTCCCAAACCCACCAGTGGTTTACTTTACAATCTGTGTCCTGGCTAGACGGCTGCTGGCTGTATAATTTGTCTAGTTTTGTCTGGAGTCTTAGACTATTCAGCAGCTTCAGGGCAAAATCTTTTGGGGTATCATTAAATGGGATTGATAATTGGCTTCTGATGAATATTCATTGTGACTAATGACTTTGGGCAAATTTTACACATACTATCTTTCTGTTCTCCCACTGAGTGAGATTTTGATAGGATCATTTTCTTCTACTTGCACTTCAATTAAATATTCACAATACCCCTTTGTTGACTGTGATCCAAATAGTATACTTTCATTACTTTTAGACTTTGCATTCCATAGGGAATGAGCATATTCCTCAAGGACCTTGATTATTTTAAATGGGGTTGATTTCGGAGGTTTTTTAAAATTTGTCTTATGATTTTCTAGAGGACAAACCCAAGTGTCTACATTTGCATCATCGCTCTCCTTCTGTAGTTGATTTAGCCACTGCCTTAAGTAGGGAGGCGCATTATTTGTTCCAGTTAGTGTTTTGGAAAGGAGCCAGACAATACCTTCTTTTGGTTTGTATTAATGAAATGAGTAAATGCATTTTAGTCTGATTTGTGAGATTTGGCCCTTAGAAGATCCTTAGTGAAGATATGAAAAAAGATGAAATGTCTTAGTGGAAACGATGATAAAGCATTTTAAAAATTTACTTTTTTTTTTTTTTTGATGGATAAGAAATTTTAGAATCTTGGCATTTCACGTGGTAGTTTCTTTTCTTTCTTTCTTTTTTTTTTTTAGGCTAAGTAGACATTTCCTAAAGATAAGACCTCTGCTACTTTATCACTTAAAGTAGGTTTTTCGATTCAAGCCAAATTAAGTTAAAAAGAAGTAGGTAGTCAAGTTCTGTCTTAACCAGGAACATTCTGTTGAATGACTTTTCCCAAGAGAATTGCAAATTATTCCCTGTGATGATGATACCTTATGGTTTTATGGCACCTATCACTTTAAAAGTACTTTTATTTGATGTGATGGAGCAGGTGTATCATGAATGAAAGGACAAAGGAAACTGTTCCCTTGACTTCTCAAAAGTGACATATTTGTATATTGTTTTAGAATCTGAGTCATATATCCTATTCCATGACATCCATGGAGAGCTTGATCCAATACTGTTCAAAGTCAAGTCCCAAACTCTTTGTTTTTGTGACTATATTCTAAGTAGGAATTGCTCGGGGGTTATTTTTTCAAAAGACATTGCATTAGCTGGCACTTAATATAATTCTGTGTCACAGAGAATATGGAGAGGAAAGGAGAGGCGGGTCTTCCTATAAAGACACTTAGAACCCCATTATAATGGGGGTTTTGCCCAAGGGAGCCATGCATGGCTTTACAGCCCACCCAGAGACTTATGGGAGATGGAGTTTGGTAGCAGCAGAAATCCAGGTCAGTTTAGGGGTCTGGTAGAAAAGGAGGAAAGGGAGGGAGTACATACTCGTCGGTCTACACAGTTTTCCAAGATAAACTTGAAGAAGGCCATAGAGACTAAAGCTAGAGATACTGCTGATTGCATAGGGAGCTGGGGAAACAGGCCTTTTCCAGATGTGCCCCCCAAAACATCTGGATTGAGTATACATGAGCAGGGCAATCCATCTTCAGCAAGAACACCTGGGTAGCTAAAGGACAGGCAGAAAGAGCTGGAACCCAAGGCCATACACCCTTCCAGCCTGGCTTCCCTTCAAGGTGCTTTTATACTAAGAAGACAGATGGAATCAGGTCGATTCTTCTTCCACTCACTCAATACCAGCAGAGATTTTTCTTTGTTCTCTGACCCAGAGACTAGTCCAGCCTCTGACAACACAGTCCAGTCTGTGACAGCCAACCTTTATGTGCGCACGGACAGACATGGGTGGAGAAAGGGTGGACTGAACCACAAGCCTTGGCATAGTGGCTGGGAACCACTCTCGGGCTCTTGCTGGGCGAGCTCCCATTCCTGGCATGTGTCTACTTTAAAGAGCAGGGTCCAGGGGCAAAAGGAGAGAAGAGGGAGCAGCGCTGGATTGAAGCACGGGGCTCACACTGTGAGACATCAGCAGAATATCCAATTTAAGGCTGTTCATGTTACAGTGACCTCTGGGATTCTCTTAGCTGGGCCTTGGCACGTCGTTCTTTCGCCACGTAAATGTCCTTCTGTCAGCAAAGGCCAGTTAACAGCTTCCAAAAGAAGCAGAGTCCTCATGGGGATAGGCTTTCCAGAAACCAAAGAAACATAAAAGCAAAAAGGCAGAAAGAAACATGTGTTGTTGGCTTTTGTCACTTTATAGTCCTCTCTCCGAGCGCTTTTCCCTGCTTGGTTTTTGAGTTTCTTTCCTTATATTGAACTTAATAACAATTTTATTCCATTATATTGGCTTTTCCTATATTTTTAATTAAATACTGATTGTATAATGTCTCTTATCATTAAGAGGAAAAAAAGGAATATGAAATAGGGCCAAACCAATAGGGAGAGGAAGGATTAGTCAGTAAACAGAGCTTGCACAATTGATTAACTGGGTGGAAAAAATAAATTCTCACCTCAGTCCTTAAACCTAAATCAATTCCAGATGGATTAAAGAGTTAAATGCTAGAGAAGAATTTGGAGATTGCCTTAGTATAAAAGTCGTGGACACTCACTTGAAGGGAAACATTCATCATGTCATGACTTAAAGCTTCTCTGCACACCAAAAGTCAAAGACAATTAAATAAGGATAAATTATTTTCCAGAACATTACAATAGATTAGGATTTTTTGCAGCTCCACTCTCTCCTTATAAATTAATTAAAATGCTAATTATTATTAGAAAAAGTTGATTAAGAATATGACCGTTTACGTAAGAGTTAGTCAAAAAACATAACGAGATGTTCAACCTTAGTCATGATCAGAGGAATAAAAGTAAAATCAAGATAAATACAATTGTAAAGTTCTTAACTTGACTCCAGTTCTGAGTCCTGAGAGGTGCAGGAGACCAGACTTCCTGAGTTCCGGGGTGTGTAAAGATCCTCATTCCTTTATTTTATGAATACACTTGTGTTTATATGATCATGCATAGTTCCTGCCTTCGAGTATTTATAGTTTTGTCTGTGAATTCTATCTCTAGATTCCATATATAAAAAGCTTACTTTTTCCTGATCTGAATTTGTACCTTAATGGTAGAAAAGTAGTCAAATAGATATAACACAGGAAATTCATTGTCATTAAAAAATACATTTTTTAAAGAACATTTGACGATGTGGGAAAATGCTTGCAAACGGTGTCTTTAAAAAAGTCAAATGTCTATCATATTGATAGTTATCCTAAATTTATTAGAAAAGGAAATACATGTGCATACCCCAAGGTATGGACCTATTTTCAAGACAGTAAGATTTCTGTTTGTTTGTATCCTTCAGTTTCCTAAAACTTCTACCACCATTTTGCTTTTGCTTTGTAATGGGGGTGGGGAGGAGATTTTGTGGAAAAAAAGGGCTCTTAATAAATTTGACAAGAGCAGGAGGGGGTGTTGAGTTGACTCCACCCCCACATTCCTTTTCCTGGGAGCCATGCCGACTGCGCCTCCCCTTCAGCCGCTGACTCTGGATTGCTTCTCTTGCAGCTGACGGCCTGCATCCACGGCTCTGCCGCCATGCTGTACCCCATGTTCTGGCAGCACGTGTACATCCCCGTCCTGCCTCCACATCTGCTGGACTACTGCTGGTAAGGCCGCTACTCCCAGCGCTGCCCCAGGCGCCGCCAGGCTTGGCAGTCTGTAACCTGTGATGCAGTTGGTGACTCAGTTGAAAATACTAACTTGACATAAAGTGAATTCAGACCACCTGAGTGTGTGGCCCTTTCATCCCCAGCAGCCTCCACACGTGTCACACCATACTCACAGTGCATGTGAGGAGGTGTTTTTTCCATTTCTCAGTTTGGGGAAACCAAAGCTCCAAGTATTTGTGTGATTTTTTTTTTCCTATGGCAAACAGGAAGCTGGGGAACAGAAGCACTGAGACCCCCCAAGGTCTTCAAGTTTCAGCCATGTCGTGGCATGTTCTGTGACACTTGCTCCCCATGTGGTTTGGGAGCATAAGCCAGACTTCAGAACCCTCCGAAGGCCTTTGATGGGAATTTCACTGTTCAGCAAAGTGTGTTTCAGTACCAGGAGGGCGGGCCGGCTGGCTTCTGAGTCAGCATGTGCTGAGTCCATGTCAGGTCCCTTGGTCTGAGACTGTTTCCTTAGCTACAAAATAAAAGTGCCTTGCATAGTCACATAAAGATGAAGTCTGGGAGACGGAAGGGCCCCATAGGAAAGCTGGCACTCAGTAGGTGTTTGTCACGGACTCCGGAGAGCATCGTCTCTCCTTCTGGCTCGCCCAAAGGACTGAGTGGGCGGCTGAGTGGGCTCCATGATAAATGAGCATCTCCTCCAGAGTACAGTGTGCAAGACTCTGGCTCCAAACCGCAGAAGTCAGCGGAAGTTGGTGAGGGAGCACCATGTGTGGAGGGAAGGGCACTCACCCTGGTGTTTGAAAGGAATATCCATACCACTTCCATAGAAACGACAACAATTTTTATAGTGCTCTTGATTTCTAAGTTAATGGTAATGTGATCAGAAAACATTCATTATGATTCCAAAGCTCTTAATTTGGAGTCCACCCTGGAAGAGGCTCCATTTCACAGGGCCCAGGAGATTTTGTGAATTTTCCCAATATGCTTATTATGTACTGTATGATTCCATTTTTATAGAAACAAAAATTGTATGTGTAGATCTAATACAAAATTTACATTCATACTGCTACTTTGCAGCAGGAATGTGATGAGGGCTACAGTCATGGAGCAGGTTTGCAAGGCAAGACTCTGCTACTTGAGCCAAAGTTTTTGTGCCATTTATATAGACTGGTAAAAACTGATCATGGGACAGTGGTGTGAAGATCAGGGTCTGGAGGGTGGGATAGGAACAGGGGACAAAGTTTTACAAGAGATAGGGAAAGGGACAGGGAAGGGGACATCGTGACCATGTCAAGAGACATTTGCTGTTATCACAGGCAGAGTTATCCCAGGACCACCGTGGAGATAGTCACGGAACCAGGTCAGTAGCGGCCTAGGTGCCCCCAGTTTGGCCTTGTGATATGGGCCACACTCCACTGGTGGCCAGGAACTGCTCTGCTGGGATTTGCAGGGAGCAAGTAGATCACAGTTGTCAGGGGTGGCCAGCTGGTAGCCAGCTCATAAGAACCCACATATATACACATACACATACATAGAAATTTTAAGTATACCAAAATATTAACAGTCATTTACAGCAGAGAGAAAGGAGTGGAATTCTGCATGGTTTTGTTTTCTATATTTTTAGATTTCACCAATGAAATAGTATAGTTTTTATAATTAGATTTATATAAATATATGTATGTGTATGTATATATGTGTGTGTGTGTGTGTGTGTGTGTGTGTATTAGTTCAATGTTTTTGCTAGCCAGTTGCTACTTCCAGCTGCCATTTCAAGCCCCAACCTACCTTCCTTGGTTGTTTAAAGGATTTATTAACTCTTTACTCTTTCCTGTGACAGAGATCTTCTTTTGCCACTTCTTCCATAATTCTAACCCTTTCCAGAACCCTGTCGCCAATGTGACCCAGAATAAGGAGGTGGGCGAATCTCACTCAGAGGGAAGCCCTGGCGAGGAAGGTTGCTAAGCCCTTGTCACCCAAGAATTCCTCTCCAGAAACTCAAAGTGAAGCTTTCTATTCTTCAATGCCTGGGTGATGGGTTTTGTGATGAGGCTCCTTCTTAGAAGTTTCTGTTGTGTGACAGCACGCTCTCTTCAGGTCTCTTCTGTGATAGCATGCTCTCTTCTGGTCTCTTGTTTTGAAGAAGGAACTTTTTGACATTTGACCAAGGCAGGATTATAGACCAGTGGGTATTGCTGTCTGTTTCTGAACTACAAGATATGAGAATGATGAAATTAAAGACCCCAAGAAAATACACAGACGCTGCACTTGAGGCTTGACTTGGTCACCTTCAGCCAGCTACAGAGGTAGCTTTGGTTGGAAAGGACCAATGTCATGAAATTTGAGTCTATGCTAATAACTTTACTCTGTTGTGTTCAGTGACTTTCACCACCATTGAGTTTAATCCTCAGTGGTAAGAGCCAGCAGGGATAACTAGCATTTTAAGTAAAGTGCTAGGAGCCTGAAACATGTAAATTTGAAGGAGGTTGTTCTTCTGCAGATGATTTAAATGTTAAGTACGTCCCCATGCAGAGGATACACGAAATGGAATCTGAAAACTATTATCTCCTGTAGAAATGAACTCTCAATTTACTCACTGCACAGGAAGGGCAGATTCTAGTCATTTTCACTGCCAGCAGGTGCCCTTTCTATGCATAATAGACTTCGCAAGTGTAATTAACACATGAGGACCACTGCTGCCAGTTTTTCTTCAGGTACATGCTGCTCAGAGTTTTCGGGACAACAGTGTAGAGCTTTTTACACTGCACTGGAAGATGAGGTGTTCATTGACTTCTAGACAAAGACATGTTAAATAGGGTTGAGCTCAGCCCTGCTGTTGGTATCACAGGTCATGGTCTGCAGGCAGAGAGACCCCCGAGCTGTCATGCAGCCTCTGCCAGGAGAGAGGCCAGTAGAGCAAAGCTCCAGGATGCTGTGGATAATGGCAAGTTTGATGCTGAAAACCCCACAATTAATGTGGAAGACTCTTAATTGCACATTCACAAACACAACCAATTACCCAAGTTAACATTAATGAGAGCTATAATCACAGATTTTAATTATTTGAACAAATCAGTTTAGTACAAATCGCCTGCCCTAAATATTTCCTAAACCAACTTTTTCTTGTCCCTCCCCATTTTTGGAGAAGGTGGTAGAGAATGTATGCAGACTTTAGGTTCAGACAGACCCCAGTTCAAATCTCAGTGTCACCTCTTGGTAGCTGTGCAGCCATTTAAAAGTCTGTCTTAGCTCTCTGGTCAGACATTTCTTAAAATGTATAAAACAGGTTTTAACTTGCCTACTTTGATCAGTGGCTATAGGAATTAGAAAAACCAGCAGGCTTGTGGCACTTAGGTGCCATTTAGCAAATGGCAGTGGTTCTTACCTTGATTGTTAAGGACTTGGGCCATGGATTTTGGATTCCAGAAGGTTTAACTCACATCAAACAGTCTTGCCTTTGCTGCCTTGGGAGCTCAGGGGAAAACTTTTTAATTCATCTTCTCTTTTTACCCCTCAGATTGTTTTTATTTTGATTTTTTTTTTATTTAACTTGAGTTATTGTATGGTTGTTTTCATTTGCAGCTGTGGCATAAGAATGAAAAGAAAAGAAACAAAAGCAGATGGCAGAGAAAACGAAAGGAGTAAGACATTTCCAGCCCTTATGAATATTTAAAAACATGTGCTGCTGGTTCCTTTCTACTTTAGATCTGTGCCATTCCCTTGACTTTGAAAGTGAAAATGAGAATGTTTCCTACCTTGCTGATGGCAGCCCTGACCTTGGCCAATGTTGGTTTCCCATTTTCGGGACAAAAGGGTCAACTTGCTGATGAGAATTGACATTCTCTTTGATAATGATAATGACCAGTTGATCGAGTATGGCATTACAAGTGTCAAGCTCTTTATAAACACTGCAGATCTTCAAAAACAAGTGATGAGGTAAATATTGTTAACTCCATTGTATAGGATTAGGCTGTTGAATTTCAGCGAGGTTTACTGACTTACCCACTGTCACATAGCTCAAAAATGGTATAGCCTGCACTTGAAATCCTAGGCTGTCTGACATTAAAACTCTCCTCACTTATATGCTCTGAAGTGTTAGAGAGTAAGTCGTATCCATCACCAAGATTTTATGAAAAAATTCTTCATGTAGACTTCTTGATGACTTGCTAATTGTAGACTTATGTTATCATTCATTAATTATTCATTCATTCAGCAAATATTTATAGAGCACTTACTATGTACCAGGCACTTTGCTAATTAAATGTTGCTAATAAAAGGTCCCAATAGAAGCCATATGGTATTTCCCATGCAAATGTCTTTCTCCCATTCTCCTTCAGAAGTAGTCCTAAATAAGGACCGCAAGTCAGTTCCCAAATTGAATTGTGTATTTAGGTTACTCTGGATGCTTGTTGGTGCACTTTTATGATAAAGTGTTTCCAAGGGCCATCAGGACAAGTTCATGTTTTTCCCTCCGAGACAGTCCAGCCCCAAGTCTAGTCCGTCACTACCTCCTTATGCTTCTCTGTGAGCATCATTGAACTGAAAGTTACATTGGGTATGCACAGCTAAGGTTTGGATTTTGCCTTTGACTTTGTAAACTGCATTGCCTTACCTGACTTCTCCAGGTGACCTGCAAGCTAGTCTTCACTGGGGTGGACATGCTCACATTATGATTCTCTGATTCTCTGCTGCTCAGAGTCTCCAAGGCAGTAGCTCAAGTGTGTGTTGCCTGCCGGGTTCCCATTCTGTCCCTAAGGCTGCATCATGCAGTGCAGCTAGGATTTTTAGCAAACTCTGAAATAATCCTGAACACTGGGTGTGCAGTCCTTGTGGATGCTGGGGCAGCCATCAGGACATAGCTGTGACATGACTGCTGGGTCAGCTGGGTCCCTTTGAGCCTCTGTCTCCATTGATGCCCTGGAATTTTGCATTGGGAACAAACTCATGCTAAAGTAAGTGGGATTGTTGATATTTTTGGTGACAGAGATAGA